GGACTTAACACCTCAACTTATTTTTATATCTTAGACCACCAATGAACCAGAAACTCCAGTCTATATCTATGATCTGTTTCTCTTATCTGCTCAAAAGGTACGTTACAGTTCATAAAAGAAAATTATAATACGTTTCTTTGAGAGCACGCGGTGTCATAGACTGACTTATCTTCTTGCGCCAGACAGTGGCGTTTTAACAGAAAAACAAACGTAGTTAATGACCAATGCAAATTAAAGCAACTGCAAAACAAGAGACTGTAATGTCAAGAATTTCCTGGGATATCAGCGAGGAAAGTTCATAATAAAAATTTTGACGTTTTTGATCTGGTTATCGATGGCGTGATTGTATTGATAAGGATAAAATACAGAGTATAAAGCCACAAACGTTTCGAAAAGTTGCCTTACACCGAATATATTTAACTGTGGTGGCGACTCGTTCACAACTTGAATTAACCAGCCACCGGGTAACCCAAACATATTGACTGGCTAATAAAGACCAATTACTACTAGGCTTTTGTTACTTTCTTTGTTGTGTTTTTAATGTATGCAAATTAGGACCTGCTTAAAAAGCAATAGAAACCGTGTATAATACGCACCGTGATTTTGATGGTTATTTTTATAGAAAAAAAGTGCGTATTATACACGGGTAAATACGGTAACCCAAACATATTGACTGGAGCTTATTATTTGAGCGTGGTCTATCTGTGGAGGAGGTGGCCGAAAAAGTCCAGAGAAAGATCGGTAAAGAATGCATACACAATTGTCGGGTTAAGATCCTGAAGTTGTACTTGCGCCTTTGCAAAAGACCCAGTGATATGTGTAGAGAGAGGACAAGAAGCCATGTTACAATGTTCTTAATACAATAAATGGTTTGAACCTGGGGGTAACATGTGATATTGTTAAATACCTAGAATTTAACTCAACAAAACGAGCACTGTGATTGGCTGATTCTTGGTCACGTGCCCCTGATCAAATTCATCAGGACTCTCGGGAGTGGTCATATGATAAAATGCTTATTGACCGAATTTGGTGGGGCTAGTGGGGAAAATATTTGGCTCGGGGTCATGAAGAAAGGACCTCATTGCGCTCGGTCCGTAGGTCATGACCCCAAGCCAAATATTTTTCAGTCCGGCCCTACCACTCAATCAATAAGAACACAGCATTTCGGTTTTGTACGTCAGGAGTGTTAAGACATCATTTCTCCTTACAATATCAATACAATATCAAGCAAAGACGTGAATAAATCAATTCATATCAACTAGGGCATTATGAGTTGATCCAATACCAAATTCTTAAATTAGGGGATTATTAGCTGATCCAATACCAAATTCTCAGACTTAACATCGCAAGAAATGTAGTGGGATTGGTTGGGAGAATTAATAATGAGATATTGTGGGTGAAAGGGTTGAATTGTATATGAATGCTTTAAAAAGGAAAGTGATAATTGAATCACAATGAGTTCTAACTGTCGAGTATTACCCGTTAGGACATAAATTTGAGGCAGTTGGACAAAAGATAGATACCAAGACTACCTTAAACAGCTCAACTCCAAATTCGCTCCGACGAAAGGCCAACGCTTAAAACGTTGAAACCCTTTACAGTGGTCGGGAACCCGGTGGCCAATTTTTATTATCAACTCAGTTGATACAACCAAATTATCTTGCTCTACTCCACCACCGACGCAGCAACACAGCTTGTCTAGAACTTGCCCCCTTTATTCATTCAATAAAAAAGATTGGCTTATTAGGTAAAATAAAGTGGACTAGTTCATCGTAGTATTAGACTTTGGATCTAACATTTAGAGTTGACATGATCATTACCGCTGACCTATCGAAATATCAGCTGGGAAGCTTAGCTTACTGCCTCCCCTGCCCGGCTGCCCCCTTTACTTTTTACCCCTTTACGTGAAGGAGGCAGTTTACTTCAGAGAAAACCTTCTTTGATTCAAGATTCCTTTTTTCGATCTGAAAACAAATGTTAAGGATGTTCCAGCAGAGTTTAATAAGGAGACCACAGACCTCATCGCAAATCTTCTTGGAAAACCAAATTCTGTTAGTGTCCAAACATTTTGATTAATTTTGGTGCGTGGCAAGTGCAAACCGAATCAAGTCATTTCAGATATTTCCAAGCCCCTAGAGCTAAATTAAACTATTTTAGCGGTGCCCTCTACTGATTGCATGGTGATCAATTCCAGAAGATGTAGAAAATTTGGATCAGGTTTTATCGTCAGCAATAAGATATCTGATAAACGGAAGTTTAAACGGACAGAACGAGGAAATATTTGCAATTTTAATTCATAGATTAACGATCAAAACGAAAACTTACTAGCATTGAATGGAAATGGTTTCGAGTACAGAGGAACTGAAACGAATTTTAGACATAAAATTACTGAAGAACTCTGTAGTCTGTAAAGCATCGTAGAGGTAAAACAACACCATTATTGCGTGGGCATTTTGTTCCTGATGGGTGGTACAGGAAATGTACAAAGTTTTAAGACATACGTGTTTCACTTTTCAGCTTTTTGCCATGAACGCGACCCTGGGTAGGTGGGTTATCCCACCTTGAGACGTTTACATGGCAAATTGTAACCCCGGCTGATAGGGTTACCCCACCTAGCAGACCGGGCAACCCGCCTAGGCGGGTCACCGCACTTATCATGTAAACGTGATCACGAAAAATAGGGCAATTTTCAATCCAAGATTACATTTGTTTGCTCCGCTCTGTCATTGATCCAGAAAACTTGGGCCACTCTCTTTCAACCAATCAGATGCAAAACTAAAATTAACCACGACTTGGTCGCCCGTGTTTTCCCGCGCTTTAGACAGTTTGGTTGTGTTCACTTTGATTTCTCTTTGGCTCTTCAAAGTATTTTCTTTCTTTTGATTGGCTGTAGGGATTACTTTGACTTCAGTTTTACGACACTTAGTCAAAAAGCGCTCCACCCGAAATTTCAAGGGTTAAATATGAACAAAACTAGAAACATGTCACCCCAAGTCAACAAGAGAGAGAAACTCAAAAACGGTGCAAAAATCGCCAAGCAAGTCGTCGTTCCATGTAATAGCGCTACTCTTAATTTCTTAATCCACCCAAAGGAAGTAGTGCAACTGATTCTACGTGATATCAGTACGACATGCGCGCAAAAACACGTAAGCGTATCTGTTAACCACAGAGTTGTTTGGCCTTAAACACCCTGCAATTCACCAGTCAGTGGACAAAAGCCCCCACTAAAGCATTTCCTTCATGTGGCTGGCAGTTTACAGCGGTTCAAATCTCCGCTGCATCACTTTGCTGCTTAAAATCCTATTGTGACTATAACTGGAAAGCTTGCCTCCAGTCTCCACTGTTCCATTAGCTATCTTTAGTACTCGTAACCAGGCTTCTTCTCAGATTCCAATTCCCGGCCTCGAGGCTTTGTGATAACAGACACGTTATAAATGAGTTTTCCACTGGATTTCCAGTTGCTAATTATGGTAAAAACCTCTATAACTGATAACAGATCAAATTAATATTATGTTTGGCTTATTTGATGTCGATAATCACTTTATGCTTTTAAATCACATCATGTTAATAGCGAAGCAGACCATCTTTCTCTGCAGACAGAAATCTATTACCCCAAGCTTTATTATCTTCCTCGTGCACCTTAAAAAAATTTTTAGAATAGCAGAATACCTAGCTAAAGAAAAGAAAAAACTAAACCTGCACTTAATGAAATGGGAAAAACTTTTACAATCACTCAGTTGAAATAACTTTACCTTGGGTAGCCTTGTATTAGTATTTTTGCTTATTTATTTATTTATTTACTGACCTTATACAATTTTATTTACTTTATACTGCTGTAATTTTCTTTTCTTTTTTTTTTTTTTAAATGTAAAACGGAAAAACACAATAAAATATATAAAAAAAAAATCTATAACTGATTTTGCATAGATATCCTACATGCTAACTTTTAAAACTTGTGACTAATCCATTTTATGACTAATCACTGGTGTTCCAGTCGCTAGTTGTACTAAAAAACTTCTGGACCTGTTTTCGTAAGGATATCCTACGTGCTAACTTTTAAAACTGATAACTAATAAATTTTTGGTATGTGTGATTTGTTCAGACAGTCGGTCCACGCTGTGTAATAACACATTACACAGCCATCCCTTCCAACAAGGTTAATGCTGCTGTTTATTTTGTTGTTTGTTTTTTCTGTTTTGTTTTTTCGTTTCAGGGCCGTAGAGGTGTTACAAATACAGCCACCGGGCCTGAGAATTCACATCCACTTTCAAGTCAGGAAGTCCTCATAAGTGACATAAGACAGAATTTCTCCCTACAATATCAAAACAATATAAAGCAGACAAGTTATGCGAATAAAAAAAATAGCAATTAGGGGATTATCAGTTGATCCAATGACAAATTCTCCGAACTAACATCTAAAGAATCGTAAGACAGACAGTTAGGAGAGTTCATAAAGAGATGAATTGAGAGTAAATTGGCCACCGTAAAGGATTTCTACAGCTGAAGTATCGACGTAGGGCTGACGCTCGAGAGGTCAGCTCGAGAAACTCTTTACAGGGACCAATTTCTTTTATTAACTTTGTTAATAAAACATGACTATTGTTCAATACCCCCACAATAACAAGGGCAATGATGAGGGAGCCTGGGGAAAAGTTGCCAAAACTGTATTGAAAATAATCAGACAACCTTATTAGCATGAGGATGTCAAGGGATTTGGATGACCTTTTGGCTTAATGATGTATTGATATGTAAAAAGCTATTTTAACTGATTTTTTTGCGATTTGCAAGATGGACATCGCCTAAGAGCAGGTACTGCTCGTAAGTCTAGTGAATGGGTTAAAATTGCATTTTTTATGCTTATTTGTGCCAACCTAACCATAAATTTTTGTTTCATTCACAAACTTCATGATTCAACTCACAAAGGTAGATAATATTACTTTTATTGTAAATTTTAAAATATGTCTAACAGTGTTTTTAACCAACTTTGCAGAGTTGATTCTTATAACTAATACTAAACAACTAACACTGTACAAAATTTTTGTAAGTCAGCAAAATGTCATCACTGTTTTCTTGTGATAAGTTGATGATTTGCAAATGTTATAAAATGCTAACAAATAATTGTACTATCAAAAATGGCTCCATAGGAATATGTTGGAAGCAAAAGGAGAAATACCTTAGAAACAGTAATTTTTTAATAATTACCTAATAATTCAAATTTTGATAACTTTGCTAAATAACTATAAAACTTTTATCATCGAATGCCTCTGTGTACCAATGACCCGCTTGGCACACTAGGCTTGGATTTTTTCTTGGTTACAGGATCAGAAGCAAAGCACTTCCATATTCTAAGAGTTTCATCAGCTGCTGCAGACACAACTGTCTGTCCATCCGGACTCATGGCCATGTGAAGGACACGACAAGTGTGACCAGTCAGCTCAGTTACTTTGACCATTGATGGATACTTCCAGATAGTCAGCTGGTTTTGTGCATAACCATGACTGGACACAAGTTCCTTGTATTCTTTTGACCATAATATAGAACACACCTAGGAAAAGAAGATTATAACCAGGCATCATGACAGTATTCCTTCGTGTGTTCATTTACCTCATGACCCATACATTCCCACATGAGCTTCTACTGGAAAAAGTTCTACAAAAATATGAGCACGAGGCCCATAAAACTGAAAAAGGTTGGGTTGAACTTGTTTATCATTTAGGCAGGACATTTTAATTACACTGTCTGCCCCATCCATGACCTGAAAACATGCTGGAGGGTATCCCTGTGGTAAACTGGCATCCCATCCAGGGGTCATAACACTGGCTCTTTGTCAAAGGGAATAAAGGAAAGGCTAATAAATAATAAAGGCTGGAAAGATCAGCTTTAGAAACTCTTAACAGTGGACAATTTACCAGCCTTTTACAGCTGCCCCCTTTCTGCTTTTCTTTAGAGGTTAGGGGGCTGTACACACTACCAATTTACATCTACGAACCCTTTATGCCCTAACATCAGTAGCCATATTCTCCATACTATACACTATACATCTCCTAAGGTGCTGACAAAGAGAATTTGTTTAATAATCAAGAGCTGCTTTGATTGGTGATCATTTCCTTTATTCTCATTACCTTAATGTTTGATTCAAGGTTGATATTGTAAGGAGAAATTAGATGCTAGCCACTCTTAGGTATTAAAGGGTTAATTAACCCAGTTGATAACACCAAATTATCCTGTGTGGGTTACATGGCCATTGTAGAGCAGAGTTCTTCTTGATCATTAGGAATGGTGAAGATTCATTCTCTAATCCAATAGTCTAACGTTATAAGTAAAAAGGAAATCACTGATAACTGAATACGCTCTTGATTGTTAAACATTCTCCTTGTCAGTATTATTTGGATTTGTTTAGAAAATATTGTGGGATATAAAGGGTGAATTACTTGTGATTGAGTGTCAATACTGCTGAGACAGTTTCCAGTAGCAACATTCCAAAACCTGATGTGTCGATCTGCAGTTCCACCACCACTAGCAAGTACATTACGTTGAAATGGACACCAGTCAAGTGCCTGAAAATAAACCAGAAAAAAAATGTCTTGTAAACTGACAATTTTTTTTCTTATCAAATATGGCATTTCAGAAAGGACTATTAGGTGCTATGAGTAGTTAAATAGAGGTAATTCTGAGGAGGGATCACTTTCTATGTCAGTGATTGACATTCATTAAGTGATCTGGGAAAAATAATCATCAAAAAGGTGAAATTAATTGTCAATCGAATCAGTCAATCAATCATTTCATTCTATCAAGTCAGAAACTTATGGGTTCCTTCTATATTGAACTGTTCCAAGCATTCAGTCAGTAAAAGTGGAGGAAGATAGTATACAATACAGTAACTAAGCATTGGAGGGGAAACAAAAACAAAACCAAACAGAGAGGTTTGAAGAGCCAGATTGCAACTCAACCCAGACCTCCTCATTTTTCATTTCTCTGTCACTAGTTTACAATTACACTTGGTTATCTCACTGAATGCCCAGAACCCACAACCACTACATCCAAGCCAGAGGCTCATGTGTAAGCCACACTACAACAGACTGAAAATCAGACAAAAATTCAAAGGAACTAGTTCCATTAACTTTTACTTCAGTTTAAAATAAATTTTAAAATCTGGACATGTGTCTAAAGTAAAGAAAAAGTTACATAGAAACCTTAACAGCTGCCTGGTGCTGATTGAAGGTGAACAGCGGCGTATTGGTGTTACTATTTGTGTTGACATTGGCATCCCATAACACCAACAGATTATCATTTCCTCCACTAGCAAGATATTTGCCATCAGGTGACCATTTCAGTCCGCACACTTCTTGTGTATGTCTGGCAAGTGTTGCAACGTGATGATTTGCGACACGAACATCATGATGGTGAATGGCACTACTTCTGCTCCCACTGATAATAAATTCATAATAAATAGAATAATCCTATAATTCTGTTGGCAGCCTTTTATCAAATTTGTAAAGAAGATGGGAAAAGGAAATTAAAAATGTAGGAAATCAGGGAAATAGGAAAAAAAGGAAAGAAGAAGTTGTGAAACAAAAGCAATTTCATTGCATTTTCTAAGGAGGCCTGGTGTTCAAGAAACAAAATTTAACAAAGACAAATTATACATTTACCTTGAATTCTAAATAACCCCTTTCCAAGTTACCCCTACTCTTCCTTGTTCCTTCATTTATTTACTCATCCTCTTCAATTGCTCTTTTTATTTTTTTTCAGTTTTAAGAAATTATTTTCAATTTTGTAGGAATCAATGAGTTTGTAACTTTCTATATTTTTATTACCTTAACCCTTAACTCCCAGAAGTGATTGACATAAAACTTCTCCCTACAATATCCATACATTCTTCAGCAAACAGGTAATGAGAATATTCAAACTTATCAGGTAGAAGCTGCTCTCCTGATCTAGCACCAAGTTCTCATAACTAATTTACAAGGAATTATGTGTAGTAGCTACAGGGGAGAATTCACAATCAGATCTTGGGAGTTAAAGGGTTTAATACCCTAATTATAGGACAGTGCATAAGTTAACACTGAGTCACTTCACTCCTCAGAGTTCAATTTTTGTAAACTCACCTTGATAGAATATATGAATTCCATGACAAGCAACCAACTCTAGCAGAATGCCCTGACATGCTGCGTACACGTTTTTGTGCCTCTACATCCCACAACTGTAGGAAAAATAGTGCTTGTTGATTAACCCTTGACATCTAAGAGTTACCAGCATCTAAGATAAAGTTTAACTACCAAAAGGAATATTTGGGTACCTGTACAGCACCATTACTGTCTCCCAAAGCAATGTAATTCCCTTCTTTAATCCAAGACACAGCTCCAATATAGCAGTCTGGTGGTTCAGTTTGACACAGTTGTACAATATCACCTGAAGCTGCATTCCACAAGTAAACAAAACCACCAAGAGCGACAGCTAAGTGGTTGTTACAACTCCAGTCTAGAAGATTCAGATCTGAAAAATCAATAAACACATTTCTTTCAGTCTGGCATTGCATGCACACAAAATGAAGGGATTATGCACTACTTTAGCCCCTAAGAGTGATAAGCAGCTTACTTCTCCCAAAAGTATCACCCCTAAATGTTAATATTAAGGTGATGTGAATAAAAGAAATGATTGCCAACTAAAAAAATATCTTGATACTTAAATGATTTATCCTTGTTAGGAAATGGATAGTGACCAGTTAGGAGAATATGCAAGCTGATGTTTGGGTGGAAAGGCTCAATAAAAGATGGACACTCATCGGTGTCCAGTGGGAGAACAGCATAGGGGCTGGTCAATTGACACTGCACAGTGAAACTATTTATTAGTGCAAATGGGCAGAATCAGATGACAGGACTGAATGAAAATGCATTATCTGCAGAATTTTAGTCTTCAGATAAACCAAGGTACTTTAACATGGCAATCAGTTTTCATGACTTACTTAGGAAACCAATGTATAGGACATTTTGGAATATTCCTTGTGTTAAGACCAATAATGCTGAAATCATGACATGTGAGCAAACCAAAAATCTGAAGAATACTTGAAGTTACTTCACACTGACTGTTTAGTTTGCTCAAAATGCATTTGACTTGTTTTCTTGAGAAAACATTCCCTAATCTATTTCAAGGGTCACAGTTTCTGAACTTCACCAACAACAATTCTGAAACTTTAGCAAGAAAACCAACTTTTTGATTTTTTTCCCAGAAAAAATGTTGAAATGAAATCACACACACACATCAAGGGACTTAAATCAAAACTGAGTGGTACGCAGGCAGAGAGCTCTTAGGGTCAAGTTGAAGCTTAAGTCCTAAAGCAACCATACTCCTTATATGATTGGTTAAAAGCATTTGAAAGCCATCAAATCTCATGTCACCACAACACAGCTGAGCTAAGTGTCACAAGAAAGAAAAATTCTCAATTGACAACGAGTTGATGAAAAACTTCTTATAACTTTTCTTCTTCTGCAGGTTGATTTTTATAATCCTGACTAGTTGGAAGTCTCTCAAGAGGATTGATTTAAGAGGAGAATTTAAGTGGTATTTATCCACGTGTGACCTTGACAGTGTTTTGTTCACGTGTGACCTTGAGAGAACTTAATGACCTTCACCTTGACATTCAAATGTTTATTTTAAACGTACTTTTGAGTAAACGGCGTGCGATAGATTGAATAAACTGAAAGCGAAACATATTGTCTTCGACTAATTTCCATATAATTTCTTATTTCGTTAGAAACTTACAGTAATCGTCAATAAGATCGGGTGCATCTAATATTCTCTCAGGAACTTGAGAAATATGCCTTGCATTCTTCTTGGTCGAAGTGGAGGGAGTTTTGTTCTGACCGTACAACACGCGTAGATCATTCAAATGGCCTGAAAAATAAAAGATCGGTAAAGTAGAAAAAAGTAAGAAGCAGCACGTGACACATGTATTCAATCAATAAATCTTTCTCCATGTGAATATTAAGGGAAAAAATGAAAGCATGTCAAGTTGTAAGTGAAGTTGAAAAACAAGACGATCAAACATATGATCGCGGGTTTACTTCTCTAATTTAACGTTTTTATTATCAAATGTTATATTACCTTCTTTCGTTGTTGGTGCTTTGCTCTTGAAGGCAAGAATTCTAGCATTTGCTTCGCCGACACCAAGGTTTTCGGCCATGTTCTTCTTGAATTCGGCTTTCGAAGGACTGATACATTCGTTCTCTTCGTTCTCGGTATCAGCTGAGATCATCTTGTGATAACTCGCTTCAAAATTCATAGCACTTCGATTAGGAATAAATCTGTCCTCAGAAGGTGTCTTGGGCGTTTTCTTGAGAGATTTCGGTGTCTTCGACGGCGTCTTGCTCAAGTTTAACCTTGACGAGTTGCGAAGCGGTGTGCTTGAAGTCGCACTGGAACAGCGACGTTCTGTTGACTTTCTCTGCCATCGCGGAACCGGTCCTTTGCTGATAGGAGCATCTAGTCTCAAGAGATCATTCACTTCACTATGAAAACTGAAATGCGACATGGTTTTTTGCAGATCGTGGAATATATTTTCTTATTAACATCAATAAGAGTCCGTGAGAATTAGCGTTTCTTAACAAAACATGTAGATTCATAATTTGAAATGGACCGCTCAATTCGAAAAGTCGAGCTCTGATTGGACAATAAAAAATATTCCTACTCTGATTGGCCATCACCTTGACAGCTGTTCCCAGTAACGTTGTCGTAGCAACAACTTGCTCAGTTCTAGTCCCCCTCATGAATGAAAGGAATAAGAAATTCCCGCAAAATGGAGGTCTGGCAGTTCGGCCTGATTGTGTTGCTTGGCTTCGGAGTAGATTTGATTGAATCTTCGGATTTTTATTCTTTAACTGTAGAAGATTTAAAGGGAAATGCCGTTCCAATGAGTGTGTTTAAAGGAAAGGTCAGTATTTTGTAAAAATAAACTTTCCTTTCGAGGTGATGCTCAAGTTACGACTGTATGTAGTCATACAGATTTAGTTCGTGTGAGTTAATTCTTTCGTATGAATCTACCATAAGCAGCTGCCCTTAAAAATGAGATTCGGTGGTCGTATTCAACACAGCGATTTAGAAAATTGGCTTTCAAATTGAGTTCGCACACAAGCATTGCAACGTACAATTTACAATGTCTGTTTGTTGTCACGAATGGAACTTTAAGAATGTTTCTGCCACGTCGCAAAAGCTGTATCAGACTTGTCTGACTCTCCACACGTTTTTGCATGGACTAAAGATATTTACTTTAAGGGTTTTTTAGAGCAGTTCTTCTGGTAACGTCCTTGGTTTCTATCATCCCAAATTTGCTTAGAACTGAATATTTCAAATTGCATGCAGTAGACAGTCGAGCTAATGTAGGCCTGTGATGAAGACACAGAGGCTTGGTAATACGTAGACTGGACTGGACTGCAAACTGAGAGGACGAAGATCAAGCTGTAGGAAGGTCATTTTACTGCATTCTTTTGCTAATTGATGGGGTGGCTGGGATATGGGAGGGTTGGGAAGGGGGAAAATGACCCATCATGGACTAGAATCCTATCCTGAATGCTATGTCATGTGGAAACTGTAATAAGATCTGACTGTTAAGTTTCTGCCAGCTCTGAGAGCTAAAAGAAACATCTGCCAAAAAACACATTTCTATCTCCACCATTTGATAAGTATAGTTACAAAAATTACCAGTTACCAATTGCTTTGGAGATTCCAAACAATGACTTAACAGTCCAGAAATCACATGGTAGGAATTTGGTTTTATACATATTGGTACACTGTACATTTGAGGACAGTTTTGAAAGTTTATGTGACTCTTAGGAATCTGCATAGTACCCAGTAATTCAATAAATATTTTTTAATGAAGATTTTTCAAACGACATGGTTTCTGGAGTAAATATCTCTTGAAAAAATAGGCCGCTGTTACTCTCTTCCCCACCCTTAAAACCTTAACCCTTTAACTTCCAGGAGTGACTAACATAGAATTTCTCCTTACAATATTAATACAATAGCAACCAGACAAGTGATGAGAGTAAAGAAAACTATTAATTTGGGGATAATTAGTTGATGCAATACTAAATTCTCTGAACTAACATTATAAGAATTGTGTGGTTGGCAGTAAGGAGAATAACAAATTTGGTTCAGGAGTTAAAGAATTAATTTTTTATTTTCTCAATCATATTTATGTGTGTTTTTTGTTTTCAGGTGTTGTTGATTGTGAATGTTGCCAGTGAATGCGGTTACACAGATAAGCATTACAAAGAGTTGGTTGAACTACAGACAAAGTTTGATAGTCACGATTTCAACATCCTCGCATTTCCATGCAATCAGTTTGGCCAACAGGAACCTCTGAGGAATAGTGGTATCGCCAGATTTGTGAAGAACAAATACAATGTGAACTTTCCGGTGTTTTCAAAGATCAAAGTTGTTGGTCCTGGGGCTCATCCTTTGTACAAGTATCTTTATGCAAGTGCAAAATATGCTCCTCAGTGGAATTTTGCCAAGTATCTTGTGAGTAGGGCAGGCAAAGTGATTCAGTTCTGGAGTCAACATTATTCACCTTTAGGTCTTGAGAATTTTATTGACAAGCACGTGAATATGGCAATAACTGATGAATATGAGGTCTATAATGTTTATAAGGAACTATGATGTAACTTTAAGTTAACTCTTTAACTCTCATGAGTGACCAACACAGAATTTCTCCTTACAATATCAATACAATATCAAGCAGATAAGTGACTAGAATGAAGGAAAATATTAACTAGGGGATTATTAGTTGATCCAATACCAAATTCTCCAAATTAACAGCACAAGAACTATATGGTAGACAGTAAGGAGAATTGCTAGTGAGATCTTGGGAGTTAGAGGGTTGAAAAAGAGGAATTTGCTAAGTGAAGTTGCAGTTAATCTGGTTTTACCACATACAAAAAAAATTAAAAATATATTTTATTTTTATGTAAAAGATTATCAGCACTTTTTCTGAAATTACTTTTCAATCCCATGAAGAAATTTGTTAATTAATGTACTTGAATAAAAATTCTTTCAAGACAAATTCAGTTTTTTAGATAACAAAGTGCAAAAGAGAGGTCCAGCAATTCAAACCAGGGAAGGGTAATTCTGTGGATTAGAAGTATGTAGCTGGACTTTTAAATACCATAATAATAATAAGTCTTTATTCCATCATAAGATAAAACTACATATCTTATGTTACAATGAATTGAAAAAACTACAGAAATCTACATACATATTATGAATTAAAAAGTATATCATTACAATAAATGGAGCTTAAATATCAACCTATTTACAAATGTGTTCATAAAGCGCTGTGTATTAATTTTCGGGCGCGCGCAGCCTTTTTTCCTGAGATTGTGTAGATATGTCTTTTGGACAGGAATGATATCTTTCAGGGGGTGGCAATCCGTTGATTTTAGTTTCTTCAAAATATTTCTGTCTTGTTTGTTTAAAAGGTTCTTGATAAAAACTGGAAATGAGATAAAACCGCGTTCATGACATCGGTCTAAAAATTTTTGTACAACCGTAAGATCGGACTCAGATGCCCCATAGACTGAAAGTGCATAGCTAAAATTAGCCAAAACAATCGATATAAAAAGATGATCAATCTCTGCCTGAGAGTAATGTTCCTTTCTCAATGTTCGTAGGACGTGTAAACACTTGTTTGCTTTGACAAGCTTAGTTCTTACATGCTCATCAAATTTTCCATCACTCTGTAAAGTTACTCCTAATAAAACGAAGCTATTACATTGGGGAATATTATTAATTGGAGAGTAGAGTACATTATGATTTTTCTTTCTAACAACCAGCTCTTTACATTTGCAAGGGTTGCAGACCATTCTATTGTCTTTACACCATGTTAAGAACTGTCCTACTAAGTCGGCAGACGGGTCACTATTCCTAGTGATAGGCGAAAGAATAGTGGAATCATCGGCATATTTAAAAAGCACAGGGCAACCATTAAAAAAAATCTCCAAATCGTTCAAAAATATATTAAAAAGATACGGTCCGCTTACACTACCTTGTGTGGTTCCTCTATTGACAAGTTTCCACTGTCCTAAAAAATTATAACTAACAACACGCTGTTGTCTTGCATAGAGGAAACTATGATACCAATTGATAATGTACGGATTTAGAGGTAGCTGTTTCAGTTTGGCAGACAAAATAGCATGGTTCACAAAATCGAAAGCCTTACTGAAGTCCATGGTAAAAATTCGCACTGCGCTATAGTCACTACTATCTAAATACTTGTATGTCTGGTGCTGGATAGCGAGCAAGGCATTTGTACAACTACCCGCCTGTCTATATGCAAATTGGGAGTGGCTCAGGTTGCTCTCAATGACTGACTGTGCTTGTGTACGATACACGACCTTCTCAAACAACCGGGCAATAACGGGAGTAACATTAATACCACGGTAGTCCGAGTCCTCTATAGGCATATTCACTTTGGGGAGAGGGTTAACATTTGCCCTTTTCCAGGAGTCTGGCCATGTATGAGTAGACAGCGACAGATTCCAAACGTGAGTGACGATTGGTGTGAGTAGCTCAGCACAGTCTTTCCAGATCCAGTACGGGAGGTCGTCTGGTCCCGTTGCGGTTTTCTTTACATGAACTAAGGTATTCCAGACACACCGCTCAGATATTTTCGGGGGCTTTACACTGTCCGGGATATCCATATCACTAGGTCTAACGTAAGTGTCATCATAGCACAGGTTGGCGAAGTAGTCGTTCAGACGAACTAGAGAGTTCTTGTCCAAATTTATCAACGATGACCTGCGACGCTGCGATAGGGCGTCCACGCCCTTCCACCACTCACCGCTACCAATGGCAGCCAGTTTTCTTCTGTTCTCGGTTATCAGCTCAGAAATGCGCTTATTAAATAAAGACAGGCGTTCCTTATTCTTTGAAGATATATGGGACTTACTCCTCAGCATACACTTGACTAATGGGGACATCCAAACTGGGTCACGCGATGACATGCGTACAGATTTTTGCGGCATAAACTTATTCATCACTGCACGAATCTTTACCTCAAGCACCTCGACCGCCTTGTTTATGTCCACCTCATTGAGGACGTCACTCCAGTCCAGCGCAGTGAGTGCCATATAAAATGACTGTTTCCGATGTTCCCTACAGTCCCGCACAAGAACTTTGCGGCGCATAGGTTTAAGCTTTAATCCCGCCGGTAAAACAAAGCCTTCATGGTCTGTCTTAATAAGCATATGTATGGAATATGCTTGACCGAACAGATCCGCTCAGTTGGTCATACAGTTATCCAAGCACGCGTTACCCCGCGTGGGAAAATCAACCACGAAATCCCAGCCAGACAAAGCCTTAAATTCTTGCATATCCAAACGATTTACATCGCCACCACAGACAATAGCCGCTTCTGGGTGTTTGTTCAACACAATGTCCACAAAAGATATTATATAATTAATTAAGTCGAGATCCCGGTAGCTATGCTTGGGAGGATTATACAGGCCGCAAATTAGCATAATGTGATCGGACGGCAACTGCACTGTTAAAGCAATAAATTCATATAAATTGGACCGATAGACATCCAAGACTTTAAGACTGTCTCTCACATAGACCGCAACACCCCCTTTTTTCCTTTTGTCCAAGTCTGCCCAACCTCTGTCCCGCCTGAACACATTGTAATTTGGGATATTCACCACGGCGTCCGGCATATTAGTGGAAAGATGAGTTTCACTGACAATACACACATCAATATCCTGAGATCTCAGGTCAGCCTCAAGCGCCACAGGTGCTCGTACACGATTTTTTGTTTTCGACAAACCACAAATGTTCGTAAACAAACATTTTGGGACAGCGAAACCCTTTGATTTAGAGGTGGATGTTTTGTCGGTTGTGTTGACACGCGGAATGTAAATTAAGTTACTCCGATCCACTTTCCGACCTTCAGCCTTGATGAAACGGCGGCCTTGCATCACCGGGATTTTCTTGGTTGAGATGGATCGTGAGATTCGAGCACTATGTATATATACATATTTCATGGCTAATCCTGAAGAGTGACCAGCATCTAATCTAATCTCACAGTAATACTGCTGAATATTTTTTTATGGTCATGAGATTAAAAGAGGTTATTGCCAAATTAAGAAGTTGATTGTTAAATTAATTACACCATTTGGCAACCTAAATTCACAAATGGTCACCCCTTAAAGGCAAGGTTTAAATTTCCCACCCCCTGGAAGGGCCTTTTCTGTCTTCCTTGGGTAGAGGCAATGGTCAAATACCTGTAGGTCGCACAGTGGGATGCTGAAGCTTCAAATTGATTGGCAGATAATTTCATCAATAAATTGCTCACAAACACCTTAAGAATAATTTTAAATTTTCATATTTAATACTGAGTTACCGATCACTGTCAAGAAACTTGAAGCTTATTGGGTTTGTGCAAGTATTACTGCCCTCTTTCACAAGTTTTTCATAATACATCACTTCACTTCCATAACAGTTGTCAAGAACTCATAACTTATATGTATTGAACTGCCTGAACTAAGTACCTTCCTTTTGGAAACTCAAGAGTTCCCTCAGGTCAATCAACCTTCTTGTCATGATGCAAAATTTTCTACAAGTATTAGAACAAAGCTGAGCTTAGCATTGCAGACCTATGTTGGTAAATGATTGATATGTCGCCGTCTGTACTGCCACTCTCACATAGCCTGATGGGAGATGATAACAATTTTGTGAGACGTCAATCCTGTCCAGTAGTGGTAATCTATTTTCGTTCCCAGTCTGCCCTCAGAAGTTGACTTCAGTTACTCGATGAGTACGTCCATTGCAACAGGGGTGGGGACACTAGGACATCTATCACCTTTAGCCAGGCCTTCATTGATGAACTGTTCCAACTGGAAAAGACTGGGTAACGAGGACTCGGAAAATACCACTACCACCCTGTAAGAAATAAACAAACAATTATCAAACGGAAAGCGTTTAAATTCTGATTCGTCTGTCATCACAGTTCAGTAAGATATTTCAAAATCGTCTTTTTCGGTGATTTTCTTTCATTTTAAAAATGTTGTAACCTAGTTAAACGGTTCAATTCTGTAAATATATCTTTTATAAAATATCAAGGTGAGGGTTCGGGAAGTGAGTGAATGAGTTAATTTTAGGGAGTGGAATTTTCACTTGAATTTTTAAACCTATGAAAATCACCGCTGTAGAAGTTCTGAAGTTTTAAAGATGTTCGTTGAGGAAATTAGCTAATTTTGAGTATTTTTTTTCAGATGACATTACTACCGCTGCTAATAAAACATGAGGAAAATCAAGTCGAATGAATTTTCAAGTCTTTGGACATATACGGTCTAAAGCTAATTTAAAGTAACAAAGTCCCCCCTGCAACTCATGTAACCGTCACCAAGTTTAAATTTCTACTCCTCTTACCGTCCATTTCTGAGCTGAGTAAGTTTTCCGGTTAAGACAGCTGCCATTCCTGACACACCCTCCGTAGTAAGGAGGAAACCTTTCTTTTCCAAAACTCGTAAGACCGTTCTTGAAATGTGCACGTCGCTGATGTAAGAAACGAACGGATTTCTATTTTCATTTTATTTCTGGACTTGAAGGCTTAAATATTGTCAATGCAAAATGACCCGAATTTCCTACGATCCAAAAATAAAGCCCCTAGAAATTAATTTAAAGAAAGCCGCCCCGTAAATTCTGGAAGGCATCCGCGATGCTATTTGGCGTGACATATATTACCAGAAAATAAAATAAAAATAAATTTAAAAAATTTTAAAAAAAAACAGAGAACTGCTTCAGCTCAAAGTAGCTGATGCTTACCTGATTTCAAGTACATCGTTTAGCGCATCAGTCGAATCTAGCGGAAAAAGCAAACGAAAGACTGTCATTTCGTTTGAAAGAAGGTTTATATTGCGTTGATATGATATTGATACGCTCGACGAACTAGAAAGTACGTGGATACAAAGACAAACCGTCAATTTGCTCTCTTACTCAGTAGCTTAGTTCTATAAGGGAGTTCTGTGATACATAATATCCGATAAGATGACATGGCGCTTTACTTAAGGCTATTTCTAAGAGAGGTAATAAATTGTGCGGTTCAAATCATTTAACTTCCGCGGATCATCCCAATTCAAATTCCCATCGCGTTATTGAGTGTGATCGCTTCAGGGGCAGGCTATGATATTACTACAAATAATAATCACTACAACGCACGTGCAAATTTGTCCAACCAATCAGAGCTTCAGTTGAGAAACTTGACAGCCAATCAAGTGCAAGCCTATAAACATAGCTTCATTGATCACTAAGTACCTTTACATGTTTCCGCGCTCGGAGGAGGCAATATACTCCACGTACCTCTTGCAGACTCTTTTTCCTTGACTTTTACACCCTCAAGAAGAATATTTTGCATATCAGACCAAGGAAACGGTGTTAAAACAATGTGAGGTCTCGGAGCGATTTATATCCTCACTTACCATTACTTTAATTTGAGGGAAAATCCTTTTTATAGAATATCGTAGCGCTCTAAGAAGGTTTGCGTCACTCCCAGGAACGACAACTGCGTCCAAGTGACAGTCACATTGTTCTAGGATCTCGAACCCCAGGGTACCTAGGCCAGCTAGCATGGTGAGGCTGTGGTCACTAAGAAAATGAATAATTATAAGTGCGTTTGTAGAAGGATTGACGATAATCAGGAATTTGTCTTTAAATACAATGTTGTATAAACAGGACTCATAACAAAAAAAAGTTTCAAAGGGATTATACAGGCAATGTGTATTTATAATTGCCGAAAGAAAACGAGAGAGCACTCAGGTGCAGTCAGAACGTGTGCTCGGAAATATCGATTCCATGAAAGCTCTCTGTAGTTTTAGACGAAAATGACTATCTCTTACCAAGACGTCTGCGTTATAAATTCTAATAAAAGGAATATTAATCCTCTTCTATTTTGAAATCGTAATTAACGGCAACACTAATCTCCACGCCACCCGCGGCTATTTATTAGCTTATCACTCGTAGTATTGACATATGAGTCTGGAGGCCTGCAACTCTGTCGGCTTTGATATTCCCTTTTATTACCTACCTATCTATATATTCCAGTCTAACTCCTCTTCTAAGTTCCTCTGCGCATCTTTTTGCCTGAATAATTAACGTAAAATTTGTATAGGTATTGACATGATTTCTCTCGCAATTTGGTGTTAATAAGCACGAGTAATTTTTTTAAATAAATCAAAATGGCCCAAACCCGTAGGACGGGTACAATTTGCAGTCTTTGAAAAATTTTCAAATGCTTAACACACCAAATTGCAAGAGAGATCATGTTATTACTCGTTGATAATTTAAAGAATGAAACAACATCATCGAAAAGCGTAACAGAGGAAATTTTGAAAGCGTGCGCGCGCGCTATTTGCAATTTTCACTCGTGTTACAATTTTGCACTTGTGTTATAGAGACTGCACTTGTTTTCAGCCAATCAGAAGCGCGTAATTTTTTCATGTTCATTATCAACCAGGAAAGCTTAAATCAAAAAGCGCGCAAACGCCTTAGGGCTCATTCTTTCAACAAAGTCCGCTTGTTTTTATTTAAAGTGTTTTGTTTTCGTTGTTATTAAGCCACTTTTGCTCCTGTTTCAGCTATTCTTAGCTGTGCATGAGTAAATAAACCGATTTGAATTTCGTTTGATTAATTTGACAATTTAAAAATAGGAATTTTATAGTATTATCGCGCAGTCAAAATTCAAACTGAACATAAGATTTTTGCAACTGAAAGAAAGGAATTTTGAAACACGTTTTGTGAACCAAATAATCGTATTGTCTGTTCGCTTATTCATTTGTAGTCGTTGGTGTTGATGTTGCTGTTTTTTTTTCTTTTCAAATGCTTGTTCACTTCACTATGACGTTAAATAACCGTTTAAAGACTTGCTTCTTCAAATTAAAGCCTTGGTGAATAGTTTTGTTTAATGATTAAGTTCAGTACCCATGGATACTTTTGATACCTCATCTAAATCACTCCCGCAGCTCACAATGTTTTTCCCAGGTTTGCTCAACAATTGTTGCTGAATTTCACTTCCTAGAGGTACTACTACGGTCACGGGTATCCCGAGTTTGGGCCCGTAATAGAACAGTGCTCGGATGAAGGGCCTACATTCTGATGCTGTGATAACTCCTCGACGTTTCTGATCCTGCATGTAAACGGAGAGAGAGAGAGAGAGAGAGAGAAAGAGAGAGAGAGAAAGAGAGGAGAGAAATGGCGTCATTCTAGGGTCTACATAACCCTCTTATTAACCGAGTTCAAGGTCCGTACTTAGTTATGGACGCGGGCCATAAATTCGAGCGAAAAAACTAGGTTCCGTAACTTACAGTACGAATCAAGAAAACGATGTTAGTAGGTTATTTGTTTTATCTCTGGGTTAAAATCGAGGGGGGAAATTTCAATTTAAACAAATCTTTGAATTTAGAGGGCCGTACAGGGAAATACGGCTCGATAAATCGACCAATCATTGCGCACGTTGTATCCGACAGGTATAATAAATATTATTATAGTATAACTAAGTAATCGTGATATTTTCGAAGAAATGATTGACTTCTAAATGTAAAAGCGAAATTAAAGTGGTAAAGAGTGTCTTTTTTCTCGCCAAAATAAGCCTCGAGAAGTGATTAATTTCATGCAAAAAGGGGTTTCTTTTAGATGAAGATCAAATTATGCTTGAAGATAGAGCTATTAGTTCTGCAAAGCTTCTACGATTGAAAATTTATCATAACTGTTTATCAGCAACGATCTTTAGTTTGGGAAGGGAGAAATTACAAACAGAGAATTCATTAGAACTTAAAGATAACACAAATAATGGGGTAAGACGGCAGGAAATGTGATTGAACAAAAAGCGATTGGTGTAAGTTTTCATTTGATTTGTTGAAAGAGCGCGAGTTATTCAGAGCGAAAGAGAAAAAAGCAATTATCGAAACAATCCCGGTTTTTTTCCTACAACCAATTGAAAACTGTTTAAGTTACGTTTCACTGAGCCATAGTATTCTTACCTCTGGTAAAACTAGGAGAGAGTTTAGAACTGCTCTGTCAAAGTAACTGAAGAATCAAGGGATAATGATTTAACTAATGAAGATAAAGCTCCCAAAAAAAGGAGCTATCAGGGAAAAAATTGTGGAGCGCATTTCAGTTGAATGTGGCAAAACCTACAAGAGGTCTGTTACAGAGCTCAATCAGAACAGAAGGTAATATCACAAGGGGTCAGTAAAAACTCTTCTTACACAGCCGGTAGCGCCCGTGGGCAGTATGAAGCGAATCCTGTGTTCTAATTGGCTATCCGAGCGAGCATGATGGGCCCAACTTGTCCGTTGGTATCACCCGCCTTGGCTTGATCCCGCGCAAGAAAAAGATTACGTCGAATGGACTTACAAAGTTCGTAATTTTTGGACAATGTCGGCGATGGAGTCGCAAAAAGCGGCAGAAGAAAGTTAAAATAAAGATAACATTAAACGAACCTTAGGGGTTTTTTGTGATACAAACACAGTTCGACTTCTCTCCCGGCTCTCGAAATAAACAAGTCATTCTTGATTCTTATTGTATCGAAACTTTTTTTCTGTATCATAAATCTTTTATTGACCAAGCTTGTTAAGTCAAGATGGCTGGATATTGGCCTTTTTCTTTCTTTTTTTTAATTTTATTACCACGACTTCGTCTCGGTCCATAAAAGCGCAAAAAAAAAAAAATTCAGCCATTCTTATCTCACGCTTAGTCAACAACGCATTTGTAGTTAAACTAGCGAACGGTTAGGAGCGCAGGAGATCGCCGAAAACTACATAGTGATTGTTTTTAATTTATCATCTGATCGGTTGTGAATTCGAAGCTGGCGCAAGTTTTCTGGGAAAATCGCAGGACGTCGTAGAACAAAACCAAATTTTGAACAGGTAACTTTTAACAATTAATTGAAGAAACTAAAAAATATCCTTTCAGCGAAGAACATTTCACTTCAGGAGTTGTAGGTTGAGTTCCCACTTTAAAAGTACCTGCCGGTTGGGGAAAGATTCTCTTCTTTTACGAGGACATCAATTCCGAAGTCGACTCCAAAACAGGTCGTCTGTTAAAATACAAGGTAAAAATTGAAAATATTAATATTTTCATACAATAGTATTTTTACTGCTCCATAAAAGATTCTAGTCAAAGGTTTCCTTTCTTATCAGTTTGAAAGCGTTGCAAAACGGGCAATTTTCAATTAATTTGCGAAAGTAATCCGATATTGCATTAGTTTTGCGTTACTTTGCTCTGTGATTGGTCCAGAAAATTGATGCCACTCTCTAACCCAATCAGATGCAAAACTCACGCCTTGGTCGCCTGCGTTTTCCCGCGCTTGAGGCAATATGGTTGTTTTAACTTTGAGATATCATTAGCTTTAAAACGTACTTTCCCTAGAACTTATGACTGGCGCTGTCTTTAGTTTGGCTCTGCTTTTACGACACTCAATCGAAAAGAGAACTCCACACCTCATTCAATAGTTCTACTTATAATACGCGCGGATATTTTGCGAGTTGCGTCGTATTTTTCCTGGTTACAGAAAATCGCGCCATACGATCGACTAGCTGAATCATATTTACTCAGACAAGAGCCACATAGCTTGTTTTAACCGTACCATATACATCAACACATGAGCAAGCTTAAATGCTTTATGAAGAGAAAACGTAGACCGAGACGACTTACAATTTTACGATAAAACTTTGAAAAACAGGACAGACTTACCAGGCATGGAGTTGGCCGAAATCTCTTTTTCATTCTCACTCTAGCCATGTAAATGTCAGTTAAGGCCAGTTCTTCTTTGCATTCCTCCATGTTTCAGCTCTCTTGGCTGAAATTCTGAATACAAGTTGAACAAAACTATACAACCGTTTTCCCGTAAGGAACAAGAGAAGTGATTAAGAGGTATTGTGTCGTGTTTTAAAAATTTCACGTCATCGTGACGTCACAAACACAATTGTTTTCGGTGACGCGCGAGCTGCTTGTTCCCAGTGCCCTCTCCTCACCTGAAGTGGCTTTGAGTAATGTTATACCAGAGGTAAATTTACGCAGTGAACCTGAAAAAATATACTTTCCAGCCACGAATTTACTGACATATAAAGAGACACGAAGAAAAACGGTGGAATTTTTCCAGCAGAAAACACGTACAATATTAGCAATATACATATAGTTTCAGTTCCAGTTCTTCCACGCCTCTAGAGATGCTGTTGAGTTTTTTCATTTTTCCCAAAAACCAACTGAAAATGAAATGAAAATACAGCAAAATCCCTATCACAATTCTCGACAAAGTGATAATACTATGGGTTGAATATCTGCTCAACCCGCATCGCTGAACAAGACCTAAAAATAACCTCATGCGTTTTCTTTAAGGTTTATGAGCCGATGGAAAACATCAACTGAAGACTCAGTCTCCCATAGTACAAAAAAATCCCTCAATCTTCGCCATCGGTTTTATCTAAGTACACGAGTAAAACAAACACCCACAGACTTGAAATGAATCATATTTAATCTTTCTTTTCATCTCACAGTATATCTGAACCTAATTTTATTTACAGCCTCTTTCGTTTGAATGTGTGTTTCATCTTGTCTTTAAAAACGAACTTATCGAAGCATTTACAGCAACGTTGAAGAATAAAAGGAGTTCTTAAATTCTCATCACCTGCGCATCAGAGCACAAACGATCAATTCAGACTTCTCGCAACCACATCACAAATAAACTGATGCAAATGTAAATAAACGAGTAAGGAAACAGAAGTAACATTTGCTAGATTAGTCATACTTCATAAACGGAGAAAAATATCTTTACAGTTGGGTAGAAGAACGTAGTATAATTGTGTTATCACTAAGGGCATTCTCCTCGACTAATTGCACTTTTTCACATATTTTCCTGCAAAGAAAGGCTAAAAAAAAAACAGTTTTGTGAATCTCCAGGTAGGAAGTAGAGAAGTTAGGATCTGAAGAATCCGCCGATTCGATCGTAAAATTTTTATCGCTTCTGGAATTACTGCGCACAATGAGAAATTGTCTTGCCTCTCTTTTGATGGTGTTTTATGTTAACCGTATGTATAGCACGTGATCGAGTTTTCCTCCAGTCACAACGAGCTAGGTCTGGAATTCAGTCACGCAAGTGGCCTGCGTGCTGAGCACGTGATCGATAGTTTTCCTCCAATCACAGTGTACAAGGTCCTGAATTCAGCCATGCAGTCAGTTGCGAGAGTTTTCCTCCAATCACGACGAACAAGGTCTGGTATCCAGTCATGCAGACGAGTCACTTTGCTCTCTACCAAGGACTAAGTCCGCCTGTTCAATGATCTACAAAGAGAAAAAAAATCGAGTCGTTAAAAAAAGAAAATCCACCCAACGAAAAATGTCAGAGCCAGGCAAAAAAGAAAAAAAAACCGTCAGGAAGATAGATTCACCAACAAAAGAAATGTGCTAATAATTCAGAGCAAACTTTGCTGAATTGAGCTTTCGGCTCTTAGAACACTACACGAGAGTTCCACCCTATGTATATTTTTTCTAGGAGATTCTATCACAAAGACAAATTCTGTATGAAATGATAAACTTTGCCACACTAATATGCAGTAGCTATCACAGTACACCTTTCATACTGACTAGCAAAGCACTATCTACAAAGCTTTGCATGAAACTCTTGAATCGCTCTTGAGAATGACTTTCATACTAAAAATGGCAGAATTTTGAGTATTTTCAAGCGCAAAATGATAATACTTCTACTCCATAAAAATCTTCTGTTTTAGCTGCAAATTGTAGACGCATCTTTAATCTTTAAAGAGCCATGCGTTGATTTAGAAGTAAGCACTTCTAAAACTCAGAAAAGTTAGTTTTACGAAGCCTAGTGCCAGTTTTCGCCCATTCTTCTCAAATTGAGGACTCTTCAAAACGAGGTTGCGTTTATCGGTTATGAATAATTAACGAGGTCCACGCATTCTGCACGATGTTACGGCTCATAAGCTTTCATTTTAATGGTCACTCGTCAGGGTTTCACTCTCAGACTTAACCCTTAAAAATTAAACCCATCTGGAGCAAAAGACATTATCCCATAAAAGCAGTGCTGAGAATCTTGAAATGAAGTTTGCGGAGGAAAAAAGTTGACTCACCGGATCAAAATTAACATTGGCGAAGAGCCCCTGAATAAACCTTCTGATGTGAAGCTTGAATTTGTACAAAGCCAAAATGTCTGACACTTCACAGTAAAGACAAAGATCTTGAAACAAGAGAGCGCACTTTTCCCTCAACCTGTAAAAATATTAGTAACCTTAAAAATGCTCTCTTCACTTCTCTTTCGTTCCAGTACGAAATTCGCCCCGAAGTCACGTGAACAGCGCCCATCTCTTACTAGTTTTGTTATCAGGGTTGCTTATTCCAAGGGGTGGGGGGGGATTTTGCGAGGATTGGTGTGGGTGTCACATGGGTTTCAGGGAAAATGGAGGGAGGGTCATTCGCGGCTAACAGCGTATAAAGGGGGACACTGCAGAAATATTTGAGGGAGGGGGGGATCAAAAGAACATTGTAAGCCCTATAAGTAAGGGACCACCCCCCTCCTCCCCCTCGCCTCCCAGGCGAGGGGGAGGGGAGGGGAGGGGAGGGGAGCAGTCCTAATACATGACTTACTTCATAAGTTCTTCCTGATGAGCTCGAGAAGCCACCACGCTGCTCAGAGACGTCACAATTCTCAGGATCTCAGCACGGAACAGTCGTTTTCCTTCGGTGGTGTTTTCATCCAGTTTACTACATTTCGCTAACATGCTGGTTGCTGTTACCGACGAGTCACTTGATTTGGCGAAGGAAAAGGCAACCGCTGAATTCACACTTTCGCCCTTAAATCGGAAAGAAAAGTTACTTTGTTCTGTCTTAAAGCAGATCAAAAACCAAAGTCAGATGAGGAAGATGGTGAAGTGTCATTCAAATGAAAGAAACGTTGGTGAAAGAAAAGTTCGCGAGAGCTCGGCATCGCTGTCATACATGCAAACGAAGAAGTTTCACCGCTTGCCATTCTAGTTCGCAGATTTGTTACTGAAAAGTGCAGGCAAGAGGAAGGTCAAAATTGAACTTAAAACTCATGGGTTTTATCGTGTAACTTTTTCATCCAAGACAGAAGAGCAGCTGGGGAACTGAGGACATAATGAATGAAACAAAATATCATCTTACATTTGCCTCCATCACAGGTGGTAGTTTCGTCCACTCTCCATCAGTCATGTTATCCGAGGACTTTGTTGTGTCCCTTCCAGTCCCCACGCTTTTTGTGTACATGCAGCCGAGGCAGCGTGACTTATCGTGGCTGGAATAACTCTCTCGTTGTGTGGGGTTGACAACAAAAGGTGGAAGAAGAGTAGGTGTAGCCACGAAATGGTCCGCCCAGGAGCCTTGGAACTCGTATGGTTCAGTCTGTTGTGGAGCAGTCAAACCAATCAATCAGTTCAACAAAGGCAAATGCTGTCAGTCGGTCATTGAGTCAAGAAGTCAATCAAAGAGTTGGTCCTTCAGTAAGTCAGTCCGTCAGTAAGTCGGTCAGTCACTCGGTCAGTCAGTCCGTGAGTCAGATAGTCTGTTCATCAGAAAGCCAATAAATCAATGAGCCAGTAAGTCAGTCAGTCATTACGAACAATTCTTAATACATCAGACTTTCCTTGAGATCATTTCGTTGAATTCCATGGCACATCCTCACTGCGTATAACTGCGCACTTGATTAGCGAGCGCAAATTTAAAAAGACAGCTTTTTCGTTATGGCAAGAGCTCACCATAGTGATAAATCATCATTTTCTCACAAACGAGCACGGTGACCTAACGTTTTCACTCTTTATTTGAATTGAGCGATAACTTCTTTCCGTCAAACAAATATAAACCAATTCTCAGAGTAGCAAGTACTCGTTAGTATAATTATAATGATATTATGAGAATTAGAGGGGTATCTCCAAGGTATTACTGCTCCTAAACGAGGATCGGAACCCCCCATCCCCCCAACCCCCTTCTTTTTTATTTCAAAATTTACGTTCTTCTAAGAAAAAAAACCAATAGGTAAAGTTTGACAAAAATTTCAGAGGAATGACATTAAAACTTTCGCAGTCCGGTATTTTACCGATATTGACGACAGTAACACTCTTTGTTCTTTTTTTAAAATTCTATTTCTTTTCACTCACCTGGAAGAGCAAGCTCAAATCACGAGGAAGACAGAGACCAAGGAATTCATTTCCGATATTCTTGTTCGTAGATTTGAACTGTCGGAACTCTAAGGCGCTGGGAATGCTAGCTAAACTGTCGCGCTTGGTGGAAGAGAATTCCCCGGCAGACATGGAACGCGGAAACTGGAAAGTGCTGCGGAGAAAAACAAACAAATCATTAACGCAATAAAATCTATTGTAGACAAAACTATTATTTATCACATTTCTCGGTCAGTACGTACGCTACGATTGGTCAATTTAACAGGCCTTATTTCACTCTGCAGCCCGTTCAATTGAAAAAATTTGTTTGAATTGAAATCTTGCCCCTCTTTTTGTACCCGGAGATACAAAAACTATTTTACTAATCTCGTTGCTTGATCCGTACTGTAGGTTACAGAACTTCGCTTTTTCCGAGCAGAAAAAACTCGGCCCGTAACTTAAAGTATGGACCTCGACCTTGGTTTGCGAGTGGTATTTATCATATGCCCCGTCCGGCCCTGCTGACGTGTGCCGAACGGGTTGATGTGAGACGGTCCGGAAAAAACCGTCCGGCCCTCGCGCACTTGTACATCTTTGTTGTAGAGAAAAAAAAATGTTCGCTGTTGCTGCAAATGAGTGACAGCAGTGAACAAAAAT